GATAAAATGGATTTCAATTTGTTCGCAATTTGTTCATGAACCTAGAGAGGCAACAACTATATACTGGTGAAGTTTCAGGAACAACGGACTGTGTAACATATCGTGTAACGACGAATGTCCACTATGCTGATATTGTGTGGATGATAATTATAACCATAATCATAATAATAATCATATTTATAATAATAATTGATAGATTCTTCATTGATGTTATCTATAATATTGATATTATTGCTGCAGTGTTGTGAACAGAAGAGCTAGTTTTATCAAAAATTTGAAAATCGATTAATTTTTTCCTGGTATTATTATCAAAATAATGATAAACCAGTGCTTTAAGAAATACAAGTTCTAAACAATTATCTTCAATTTGCTTAGAAAATCTAAAACTTGAGGTTTTTTCAAATTTCTATTAACTTTAATAGCTTCTACAACACAACATCCAACAATATCAAATTTTGATTGATTCCTAACAATTTGAAAGGCTTCTAAAATTTTCATTCCAATTTTATCAATATGTTGTTCATACAAAATTAGAATATCAGTCATGACAGATTTTGTCAATTTGAATCCAACTTTTACTAATTGTTGTATACATTTGACAAAGTCCATTGTAGTTGGATAAGGCGCAAATATTTTTAGATTAGATCAAATTGAAAATCACTCAAACACCACCATTGAGCATAAAGAATTTGAATTAATGTTACTTGATTTAGATCAAAGTGAAACGTGTATATAGAAATAATTGGATACAATTATTTTATTAACAAGAAATATTTATTTCTGTTCAAAACAAAATATTTCACTATACATTTATTCTGATTTGTGTGATTTAATGTCTTTACAAATTGAAAATAACATTGGTGATAAGGTTTCTACATTAAACCTGCTTCCATAGAAAAACCATCAAGGTCTAAATTAAAATATGAAAGTTATGCAAAATCCTCTATAAATAAAAAAGCACTTTTTTTATTTAAAAAAATAATTTATATTGTTAAAGTAAAAATGTGGAATATAAGATTTTATTTGTGACTAATCTTGATAATGATAAAGAATAATAATAATAACCACACAAAAATAATTTATATTGTTTAATTAGATGTTAAAGTAAAATTTTTTTTATATAATAGTCTAAATTGCTATAAAAGCGCCTGAAAATAAACCAAACCAATATTTAAAAAATTTACTAAAAAAATAATATAATAATAAAAAAATCAAAAATGGTTTATCAAAGCTATGACAATAATGATTTGGTTAATGGTTCTAATAACCAAAATCCTAATCTTGTTCTTTATTCAAACGGAGAAACAAATTTTACTGGCTCGGCTCCTATTCAAAACAATCAAAATGCCAAGTTTACTGACTTTACCCATGGAAACTTAGCTCATGACAATCTCAATCAACAAGGCACTTTTAACAGCGATTCTGTT